CCAAACCCTCCCCCCGCGCCCGCCACTATTGGGATGTGGACGTGGCCCAGGGGCTCTACTGCGCTGTGGGAGTGAGCCGGGAATCTCCGGCCCGGAAAAGCGGCGCCGGCTTCAGCCCGGCCGAGGGAATTTGGGCCGTGCAGCAATGGGGATTCCAGAACCGGGCGCTCACGGAGCCGCCGACGCTCCTGGCGCTGCCGCGGGTGCCCCGGCGCATCCGGGTGTCCCTGGATTACGAATGGGGAGAGGTGGCGTTTTGGGATGCCGAGAGCCGGGATCCCATCTTCACCTTCCCGCCGGCCGCTTTTGCCGGAGAGCGGGTCCGGCCCTGGTTCTGGCTGGAGTTGGGATCGTTGTCCCTCGCGCGGTGACGCTCGGGTGGCCCCGGGGACACCTCATATCCCCCCCTTGCTCCCACTTTCTGGAATCATCACGCTTGGAAAAGACCTTTTCCATGGAGGTGTTTTCCTGTGTGATTGAGAGCAGCCACTCGTGCAATGAGTTCTGCCCGGCCTCAGCCCGGCGTCTCCCCGTTGCTCCTCCGGGAACATCCACGGGGAGAATCCCGCTCATCCTCCACCTTTTGGGATGCTCCGTTAAGTCACCGTCCCCCTTTCCTGTGTCACCCACCTGGGATTTCCCTCTCCCATCCTCGTGGCTGCAGCTTGGACCCGGATTTCAACTTTCCGGGACACTTTTTAGGAGCCAGAGGGGAAAATCCCGATTTCCACGTGTCCCCCTTAAGTCACCCCTCGCGTGACAAATTCGGGATTCACCTCCCGAATCCCTCCTTAATGTCCCCTTTTGTCACCCCTAAATCCCCCTTGTCCCCAGGCCAAGGGTGGCTTCCCATTCCCAATAAACCGTGTGAGCCTCTCCGGAGAATTTATTTGCTTAATTTTTCCCGTTTTCGGGTGAAAATTGATGCTAGGGACCATCCTGCCCATGCGGGAGCTCAAGGCTGCCCGGCCCCGCCGGCAGCCAAAGGAATTTTCCTCCTCCAGCCGAATCCAACGGAGCGTTTTCCAGGCCGAAGCTTTATCCATCCCAAGGCTCCGGAGGGATCCGTGCCAGCCTTATCCTGGCAAGGAGCCACGGGAAGATCCGGCCTCCCGCATTGCTTTAAATAGGGCTGCCCTTTCCCTGGGATCCCACGTGGTATCCCGCTGTCCGGAACGGACACAAGGGAATCCATGGGCTCCGTTTTCCTTGGATTTGCAAATCGGGAAGGACCCCCGGTCGGCTGAGCTGGGGGAACAGCAGGTAGGTGACTCCTTGGGGACAGCGCGGGAGGGGACGTGTCATTCCAGGAGCTTGGAATGGGATCAAGGCTTG